TGGTGACTGCCTGGACCCCAGCATGCTGTGTCAACTGCTGCAGTCACCCCCACAGCATAGAACCCTTTTACCATAAACTTATTTCCAATGTTAAAATCAATGGCACTACCCCTCACATAAAATAGACATGAAAATGTTTATTACCCACAGATGAGGCTTTCTGGAGGAAATGCAGTACTCCTAAGAAGGTCCAAGAATACCTTGAGCAGGCAAATCAGACTGACTTGGTTTTAGATGCTTGGAGGCAAGGAGGACAACGGATCTCCCCATGGACAGGCCTGGCCTGTGAACTTTAAAAATAGTACAAGGACCAAAGGCACAAGCCCCTGAGCTTTCTCTTACCAGCACGTCTAGTGATGGGGCAAAAGCAACAATGGTGAATTGTAAAAATTTCCAGCAAAAGTAAAAAAAATAAAAATAAAAGAGTGAAACTCTACCACAAAGGAAGAGAGTAAAAGACTCATTTGGTTTATGCTTTTGAGAAGTGGTTTTACATTATTTCATGTTTTTCAAAGAAAAAAAAAAAAGATAATTTAGGGGACAATACCAAATCAGAGTTTCTAACTAGCTATACTTTTGCCCTGCACCATGGAGACTGCAGGATTCTGACCACAACTGCAGCCTCACTGAGCTGCATATGGGCACTGAAAGGAACAATGAGACTCAGCATTGGATAAAGAACCCTTGATATTTACAGAGCAACTAGACTTCTTTCGTCTCTGGGCTCCTCACTCTGCTCTGGTTTTAATATATTGGCACATTCCCATCCTTCCCTTTAACAATATACTTTGTCATGTTCCCCTTGCGTTGACAGCACTTTAGCAATCAAGAGTTCCTCAGCCATCATTTTTGCTGCAACACTTGGCATACTTCGTCTTAACCCCTCTATCTTATCCTTCAATGCATCTGTGTGGTTTGCATTATTTTATTTTGGCAGCCAGACTACAAGCTATCTGACTGTGAAGCTCATGACTGATTTGTCTTTGTACTCATTAATCACACAACTAGTGCTGATAATACAGTAGATGTCTTGTGTGTTTAATGAGCAGGTGAATGAATAAATAGGATCTCAGGCCCTATTATTTTTGAAAATATGCAATGTTGTCATAGTTATAACCAAGTAAACCATAAATCACTAGAGGGAACTTCTGATTTCAATAGTATAGAAAATAAAAGCCCAGGTAGTTGACATATAAAAACTGTTCATGTCTTTCAGTCAGGATTTCTATGAGTTACTAAATAATTTTCCTTTATTGTTAGGGTAGAGACTGTTTCCTTACCAATTCCTTGTGACACAAATGAGAGCAGCTTTCAGGTGCACTATCCATATCATATATGATTTTAGAAGTGCCTTATAGTCTGCTACTTTACACTTACCATTTCTTCACAACTTTCTAGCAAAGTGGGAAGCAGTACCATGAGAGTAAAGAGGAAGAAACTGACTGTCCGTGGCTGGTCACAGAATCACTGGGCAGGAAAGCAGGCCCAACCGGTGCTCATTCTGCTTCCATAAGTCCATGTTTTAACCATATGTCTTAACACTTCTTCCTCAGAATGTGATTTGTGGCTTTTATATGATTCAATGAAAACTGGACTGAAAGAAAACATATTTTATGCTAGCTGAAGAATAGCAAACATGCATGATTCTAAGTTAAAAAAATTTCCTTCATGGGCTCACATACATTTATATGCAATCATTTAAATCCCGATTCCCTGAATCCATCTACCTCTCAGAGCCAAGATGCTACTCTACTTGCTTTATTGGAATTAGGCTAGGATCGACGCAGTTTTCTTAGTGGGATAGAGTACTGTGAATCCATCTACCTCTCAGAGCCAAGATGCTACTCTACTGGCTTTATTGGAATTAGGCTAGGATCAACGCAGTTTTCTTAGTGGGATAGAGTACTCTTCCAGCAAACCCATGCTTGGTCCAACAGACCTTTTAATTCAGCCAGGCCAGGTTGAACAAACGTTTCGTTGTTTCACCAACATAGGCCTGGAATTGCCAGCATTTACATAAAAAAAAATGTGAATCAATTTCCTGCAAAAGAAAAGTCTTTGCCTTCTACCATAAAAGTCATTTTCTTAATTGGGCGCTTTTACATAAATCATGGCATTATTATCTTTTAATTCTCATAACCTTCACCCTTTGAGATGTAAACTGTCACTTCTTTTTACTAGATATAGAAACTATAGTTTAGCAGGGTAACAACTGGCTAATAACGGACACAAAGTTATAATACTTGGAGAACAGAAACAATTGAACTGAGGTGAGGCACATTCCAAACTGCAGGCTTTTTTTATTTTTCCTTAATGCCTTCTACTTTCCATGAACACACAACAATATTATAGCACATAATATGCAAAGACATGGGGGAGACGTCAACAACTCACATCAGGGAGACACTGAGATCACAGCTAAAAGGGAATTTCCTAGTCTCTCCCAATGCCCTTGTGTATAGAAACCGGTGATCTGAGAGTACCTGCAGCCCTGCAGCTACTTACATGAGACAGAGCCACAGGTCAGACCCAGGCCCGACTAAATCCACTGATCTCACACTTGAAAACACTGCCACGCCCAGGACTGCCCAACAAGCCTGCATTTAGATGTGGTCCCATCAGCACTGACATTTACAAAACACAGCCATAATCTGCCGTCTAAGGGTATACCCTGCTCAGCTGCTGTCTTACCACTGCCCTGGCTTGTGAAGTTCACCCAGCACCCAGTTTCATGACTGTGGGGCTGTGCATCCTCATTTGTAAGCCAAGCTCCTGCCGGATGTAAAGGAAGACCCTGTCTCACATTAGACCCATATTCCAAGCTCCTATGGGGCTGGGTAGTGCTTCTCTTAGGAAGTCATCATTAGGACTACCACACAACCTCTTCAGCAGTACTTGCCTGACCGCAGAAAACAGTGCAAAACCCAAGCCAAATTCACTGTTACTAACAGTGGTGTGGTCTTCTGTATTCTTGAAGAGTGAACTGTATTCTTGCTGTCATTCAGCCTGTGTATGGTCTTCAGGAAAGTACAGAGCAGCAGAACAAGGGAGTTCAAACACTCCAGACATGAAAAGATTCTGGAAAAATTACAAAAAGTTAACACATTAATAGCCTCATTTTTCTTCTAAACATGTGGCAGAATACCTAACCTATAGTAGATGCTTAACAAAAACAAATGGAATCTCTCTTCCTACATTCTCCAAGAATGACATGGGTCAGACCAAGCTTTTGACTGTGGCTTGCTTTTTTTTTTAATAAGTCTTTCAGAGGACTTGACTTATCTACTGTAGGGGAACTGCACTAAGACGCCTCAGAAACCAGGGAGAAAACTAAATGAGGTGAAAACAAATTTTAAATGAAACACAGTGCCATATGCTGGTCTCATAAAAGCTTGGACACATGGACAAATAACAGTGACATGGGGATTTATACAAAACAAGGAATATTAACTAGCCTGTAAAAAGGAGCAGGCAGACATATTAGGACACTTGTGGCTCGGGGAAGAAATGCCCAAAGCAGGTTCCAGTTGCCAAATGTAAGCCTGGAAAGCTTAAAGATAGGCAAAAAAAGTTTAACGTGGATGGAAACCACAAAAGCCCACATCACACTCTTCTGTATCTAAAGAAATGGCTAGCTGGCTAGTATTTATCCAGTACTCTGGGAATTGGCCGAATGTTTTCACATCCATGTTCTCCTATCTTTCCTAGACTCACAGGGCATTTTTTTTCTTTGTAAGGCAAACTGTGCTGTCTCCTTGACTAATAACAAAGAAGTGGAAGATTAGCATGCTGCAGCTTGATAGCTTTCAGAAAGTGTTCTATAGGCTCCTAAAAGTTTACAGTTGTAGCACAGGAATTAGGGTAAGGAAAGGCCACCAAATCTGCAAATAGAGCCAGTGCTCTTAATTGATTTTACAGACAGTCTTAGAAATTGATACTTTATTTGGGTAGGAGGGCTGCTGCTTTGAAGGACAAAACCCAATGGCTATGATTAAATATTTCTTGAAATCACATTTTATTTATTTAAACAACCCGGCAGATAGCTGCAAACTGTATATTCAACAGGGCCTAAAGTGTCAAAATGGAAAAACAGTCAGATCACAACAGCAGATACCTGCTTTATTTGAAAGCCAATGAATGGCTGTGCTATAGAGATGAGAAATCAAAATGCCAAATACAAAGGCAGCTGGAGGGTTCCTAGGCCTCTTATCAATTAGCACTGTGTTCATTTTTCTACTGCACATTGTGTGGCAGAGGTTTCAATTACTGTTACTGCCTACATAAGTTTTCCACCTACAGCAAAGACAGATTTGCTGCCAGAAGACTCCACAGATAGAATGGCTCTATGTGACTGAGCCACTGCGATGCACTTTTAATTGGATCAATTTATTCTCAATTCTATATACCTGGAATATCAGATGCAATTTCATAATCAAAATATGGAGCTTTCTCTAAGTGGAAGCAAGAAAAACTAGTTCACTATTACTTTTTCTTCACCCATCCTTTGACAGCTACCTAGCAACACTGCCACCAATAATTTGTGGTTGCTTAGTTTAGCAATCTTGTTTCCAGGACAGCAAAAATTTAGGCCTTTGGCTTACAATCACTCCTGCACCTTAGATGAAGATATGTCGCTTAGCAGACATGGAAGCCTGCAGAATCTCATCACACACTCTCACATGTCGTCTGAAGCACACATATCTATCTTCCTTTACAAACTGCAATTAGTACAAAAGGATACGGTGAAGGCCCAGTTTTGAACAGGATGCTGGTGATGCTAGGCTGATTCTGTTCAAATGCATGTGATAGTGAGGGTCTGTTTATCTTTACATAATGGAATTTTGGGCTGTACTTTGAACTAAGTAGAATGCTATGCTGTCAAAAACAAAATTAAATTAAATTAAAAAAAATAGTACTGCTAGGATAAAAAAAGCAAAATATAAGCTATTAACCTCTCCCTCCCAAAATCCCATTTCTAATTAAGGCATGAACACCAATGATGAAGAAAGTTATCAATAAGTTTAATGCTTCATAGAACAGAAATACATCTCACAGTCAAATAGTATGCACTCACTTGAAGAAAATACAGAGTTAGCTACCCAATGGTTTATTCTTAAGTAATAAAACTGGATGTGTCGACCTTCTCACATTGTTGGTCAAAGTTCCCATCATACAGTTCTTCCAGTAACTCTTAGCACAGGTCAGTGGAAAGAGTATGAAACGTTTTGAGTCCTAGGAAATATCCCAAGTTTGCTAGATATGTTCTCAGCTGCCTTGGTTATGGCATAATTCTAACCTATGAACTCCTTTAAAAGGCAAGCGATTTCTAGACTGAAAATTTCAACACTATCTAACTAGGGTCACACGGTCCTCTGGCACATGTGCTATTAGAAGACACTCCATGGTGGCAGAAATCATCCAGCCAAGAGGTCCTGCTTCCCAAAGGGTCTTTGTGTCACCTTTCCTGGCACTTAATGATACACTTTCACACTGGTAAATGTGATCAAAAGAGACACCATGCTACAGACACAAAATATCACTGAAGGGCAGAGCAGATCCACTGGAGCATGCACACAGAATGCAGCCAGAGTTAACGTATCACAGATGAAGCACATCATAACAGGAAGGTAACAACAGACTAGGAACCTCAGGGTCCAAGGGAGAAAAATCAATGACTATTCAATAGCAATACAAATTTCAAACACAAGGGCAAAGGGATACGTGGATATCTCTACTGAAGCCTTGGAAGTGCCTAACTTCTAAGCAACTTCTAGTACGAGCATCATCTACTTGGGATATAGTACCTGTTAATGCTCTAAATTTAGGAAAGAGGGGGAGGGGAGTGGGAAGAAAGGAACAACAAAGAAAAAGCACTGAAAACTAGAGCTTCTACGATTTTAGAGCAATCCTACTAGAATCGGGGCATAGGCCACATCTACTCTACAGTACCATCAACAACCAAGGAAGAAAAGGGAAGGAAACTGGGTTGGGGAAAGACGAGACTGGTATTTCTCATTTCTTAAGGGGTAGAATATCTTCTCAGATGGTAGCTGTAGATCTTGACGCAGTGATCCCAGCAGTCCAAGACCAGCAGCTGCCCCTTGGGTGTGAGGGCGATGCCCACTGGACAGGTAAGACCCTCTCGAATAAGGACACTGTAGCCGCCGCCCTTGGGAAAATGGAGAATCTCCTTGCGGCTGCTGTCGGCCACAATGAGGTCACCCCGCGCATCCACACACATGCCAGCAATGCAGCGGAAATCCTCATTCTCAGAGAAGAAGTGGCTGATCTGCCGGCCAAGCTGCCCGTCGGGGCCCACAGAGCCGATGGAGAAGCCACCCTCCAGGTGGTGTTCATTCTGTCGGTTTTCCACATTGAGACCCAAGCCTTGGGTGAAGTAGACTGTGCCTTCAGCATCACAGGTGACGAATTTGGGCCTCACAGCACTGCAGAGGCAGCTGTATTTGACTACTCCTGCTCCTCGGTCTACAGTGAAACACCAAAGCTTTCCGCCTTCCACATCCGTCACCACAAACTGGCCAGATGGTAGGGCTGTGACGCCCCACGGCTTGCTCAGCTGGCTCCTGTGACAAGCCACACAGTGGCCATCCAAGGTGTAGACTTTAAGGGAGTTGTCATAGCTGTCAGTCACACCAATCAGCCCATGGCAGTTCATGGCCACTGAAAGAGGAGTGAGATTGGGCAAATCGGCTCCGAGGAAGCTTAGCACAAAGCTATCAATGCCACTGGGGCTGCGGCGGATCTCCTTCAAAAAGCCTTTGCGGTTAAACACTTGGATACGATAGTTGCCCCGGTCAGCAACCAGCACCTCACTCTGACTGGTCACATAGAGGCTGACTGGAAGATTGAACATGCCTGGAGTGCTGCCTTTCGCCCCCATCTTCTTGAGAAAGAGACACTGCTGGATACCGGAAGATGCCTCAGAACCCCGCTGTTTCGCAGGTGAAGCCCTAGGGCTAGCAACTACTTCCCCAGGGCTCATGTCCATCTCTTTAAAGGTAACAGAGACGGAAGCAGCAGATGCCCCTGCCTCCTCCATTTCCCAGGAATCTTCCATGCTAACTGTCCGGGGTTTTTTAACAGCCTGTCCTATTTGCAGAGGACCAACGTGCCCCACTTTAAGGAGCTCCACATCTTGCAGGGTGAGCTCCCGAGGCAGGCTGGCAGTGAACTCTGGCTCCTCCTCATCTGCTGTCTCCTCCAGAAGTGCTACATCTGCCTGCTTGATCTTGGCTAGGAAGTAGTCACAGCGTGACACGGCCTGCACCTCTGCAATGTTGAGTAGGTAGCTCTGCTCCTCTACCACCTGACTATTGGCCTTCTCAACCTCAGCCAAAGAGCCTGTGAAGAACTTCCGAGAGCGGGCTAGCTCTTCCTGGACCCTGTGCTCTTCGTGGCCATACTCTTGTAGAACAGCCTTATACCTTGCCTGAAGGTCCCTGGAGACACCCTCTAAGGCTACTTTCCGCCTCTGCAGCTCTCCAGTAAGTTCCCTCAGGCGAGTCAACTTCTCCCCAAAGTCCCTCCTCCGTTCCTCAGCTGCTTCCTTGACAGGGAGTGTACAGTGGCCTGGAGGTTGGTGCTCTGCCTCCCGGCAGGGTTCACATAACACTAAACCACAGCTTCGGCAGAACTGCCGAGGCAGCCTGCGGCCACAGGCTCGACACATAAGTAGCCCGACGGCCTCACTGAGCCCAGCTGTGTCGATGATCTTCAGCACCGTTAGGTTGTCTGTCAGCTGGGTCAGGCTGGTAATGCGAGTAATCTTGCTGCAAAAGGGACAGCGGACGCCATTGATGCTACTGGCCAGAAGCTTCTCCAGACACTGGCGGCAGATGGTATGGCCACAGTGCAGCAGCTTGGGCCGCAGTTGTTCTTCAGTGAAGGATTCCATACAGATGGGGCATTCTAGCACTTCCCGGAGGGCATCCAGGTTCAGGTGAGAAGCTGCGGCGGCCGCGGCCATTGCTCTTCCTGCAAGGGTTCCTGCTAACACAACCTAGAGCTGCACAGCTTAATATTCATGCCCCAGTGCCAATTTCCTGCTAAAGAGAAAAACAAACCATTATTCATTTTTTCTACTGCCTATTAATTAATCCTGTCTAGAAACACTTAGAAAATAGCTATAATCATCCATTTAACCATCTACTTATTTAACAAACATGTTATTGCAGTTACTATGTCTCAGGCAAGAGTGACACACACATGCACTTTCCTATCATCTATAAAATAGAAATGACATCATCTATCCCATACGGTTACTGGAAGGGTTAAAATATATGATATACAAATGGAAAAGCAGGGAATAACCCTGTCCCCCGGAGAAAGTCACATGAAGGTCCACTCTGTGGAACCCAGTAGGTACAGTGATGGCGCCTGTCCCTGAGGAAAGCAGCCTGTAAGTGGTGCTACTTGTACAATGAGTCTTGAAAGCAAGGAGGCAATGACACACAGGTATTTTAAGCAAAGAGTCCTGTGTAAGTTTGATGTCCCCTTCTTATTCCGTTCTAGAGTTTATGGTCTCGGATGTTTCACTCAGAAAAACAGAAAATTCTGATGACTACCTTTAAGTAATCTACAAAACATCAGATAAGGATGCCACAAGTTTTTCACTTGTGTATCTTCCCACCTAGTCACCTAGCCACACATGGTAGTCTAGGCATCATAGAGTATACAATATATTGAGTTTCAACATACATACCCTGCCCTGCTTTAAAAATACAAGGTCTATAAGTAAGGAATCAAAGCAGACTCAGTCTAAGCGATACTAAAGCAGTCTCATTTCACCTAAAGGGAAACTGAATTTCAGAGAGGCTGTAACCTTTACTTGGGCCTGGAAGAACACAGAAATGAAATGGGAGAACAAAGCATCAGGCAGAGGGCATAGCCTTAACCAAGCTGAGAAAGCAGATGGGAAACACAAGTTCTTATATTGGGATGAAAACAGAGAATATTTGATCGCTCCATATTTTATATTCTGCACTGTAAAATGGAAATAGCATGTCTTTTGCTGGGTTCACATAAGGATCATATGAAAATAACACATCATTGTGAGTGACACTGATATTTACCTCTGTACCAGCAAAGTCCTAAGTTATCTGTTCTCTCTTATCCCTTATGTTAAAACTGTAGTAGAATACAGAGGGAGCTGTGAAAATGCACGGAGAAATAATCTAAGGATGCCTGGCGATATTCAGGTTACAAAGTGACTTTCATGTGAAAGTACAATAGGGTATGCTGGGACAAGTACTTTGCAGCAAGGAGCTGATATGCTTTGGATGGAAAGGACTCTGTATGGGGGCTGGGTCAGAGAAACCAGTTTAAAAGCTAAAACAAAAGACCCAAGAGGAACTAAGGCACAGGTAGAAATGCAAAGGAGACATAGTTAAGCAATATTACAGAGGTATAATTAGTAAGAGCTGAAAACCAAGAGGCTTATGGTGGGAGAGTAGCAAAGAATTAAGATGACCAAACATTCAAGCCCTAATGATTTTAAAAGCACTGGTTCTTCAAACAGAAGCACTTCTGGCTGGCTTGGCATGCTACCCATGTCACCTATGTGTCCTGAAAAACCCTAATCTTCTGCAGACAAAATGCTTATGGCACAAACTCTGCAGCCTTATGATGCTGTTGACCCAAAATTAGAATGAATAAGTCCAGGAAGGCAAGGCACACAGAAAAATAAGTCTTTCTTGGATGCAAGTCTTATGTGCAGTATAGAGGTTAGCCTGGTTTAAAGGACAAGTAGTTGGGAAGGAAAGGCCTATCCACATCCTCAACTTTCCCTAGGCATATGGGAAGGAGCATTAATGGAAAGTATATACAGTAAAGATTCTGCAGCAGATGCAGCACTTGTATAACACAGGAAGTCCCCTGTTCTTAGGAAACGGCTCTGGTAGCCTAGTGCTGACGACATGTTACATAGAGCCGTGCATGTTCATTCTTACTTTATCCGCACTGCGAAAGTGGTAAGATTTTTATTGTCCCACTTTATCGACAAAAACACTGAAGTTTAGAAAAACTAGCTCAAGGTCTCAGAGTTCAAAAATGGCACCTTTACTTATCTTTAACCCAACATTACTTCCAAGTTACAAAAAAACAAAAAACAAAAAAAAAAAACCTTGTCACTCAATATTTATTAACAAATGATCTCGACTCTGCTCTAGGATACACTGACTTTAAAACATCCTTTTCTCCCTGAAAAAGGAACAGTCTTCTGGGTGAGTTTCAGCCAACACAGAGTGGGTCAAATCGACCTACTAGGTGGGTGAACCATCCCACACTCTTGCTCTGCAACCCATTGTAGTTCAAATGCAAGACTTAAAAAAACAACAGATTACTAGGTAGCATGGACCTTAAACAGTCTCCGTGGATTTTGCAAACTCTGAATGCTGAATTCTCAAATGCCGTGGGCCTGGGGCAGCACCACAGAAATACCAAGAGAAGCACAGACTCTGGATCCACACAAGCCTCTCAATCCTAACCAATTGCTTTTTTCTGTCTGCTGTCATCTGCGACAACAGTCTGAGGGCACCATTTGGTGTTTGGATCTCCAGCATGTTACCTTACATTGTGCAGGGACATCTGTTCTTCCTGGAGCTGGCACGGCAGACCAGCTTGTTAAACGAGCCTGCCAATCTGTAAAAATACCAGTAAATTCCTTCCCCAGATTTCTGGAATATTATACTCTCTCATTCAATTCAAAAGCATCCCGCCTGTGTAAGCTATCAGCTTTATGAAATAAATTATGCCCACATCCAAATACAAGCTATTTCTCTAGTCTTCAGTTTCACCAGGTTCTCCAAAAAGATGTCAAAATGCCATGCCATGAAGAATCTGAATTTGGAGAAGCAGACTTGAAAATGCCTGAACTACTACTTCTCTTCCCATCATCCCAGGACAGAGCTTTCACTTAGCCTGAAACAGAACCAAAGCCAGCCAGACCTCTCCTCCAGAAGGCCGTGCCTGACCACAACTATTAATACCAAGAAAGAATCACACAGAAGCTCAATTTGACTTCAACTTCCTTGAGAGATTGTTCCAGTGAACAATCTCTCAAGGAACTGCCTCATTATGCCAAGCCTTTAGGTATGCTGCCCATCTCCTGCAAGCTATAAAAATCAGTAACCAATCAGAATGAAGTCAACACGTTGCTTTCAATCTTAGCTGCCTCCACAGTCCCTTGAACACATTTCCCATTGTTCACTCCATCCCCCCAAATCTTGCCCTTTCACTTTATATAACCTCAATTCACCTTGTTTGCTCACCTCCTCGGCATGATTTACAGTGTACAGCCCATCCTGACACCAACACAACCCTGACTCAAGATATTCTATCTCCTAGAGCTGTGTATGTTCCCACAGAGCTAAGACAGTATGATCCTCGACACCACTGAGGTTTGCCAGTCTGTGAAACAGGTAGCCAGGTAGTAGAAAGAACAAAGAATAAACAGAAAAATAAACCTTCAAGTCAGAAAAAGAAAATGTTTGCACCAAAATGTTTGACAGAACGTGGGGCAAATGGCAAGTTGCTTAACCTTGCTTAACTTCTCTGCGCAGGGAAAGTCAGTCATTCTAGGCTTGACAAATTCTTTAACCTCCCTCTATTTTCTTAGTTTATATAAAAAAATACTAGGAGGACTAGGGATAATGCGTCTAGATACTTGTGCTGATAAGTAGTTGGCAAGCAGTGACTTTTTGATGGTTGGTGACAATAACTATTTAACATAATTGTTAGCAATCAAGAGCATTAAGAATCATAACCAGTACTTAGCAGATAATTCAGTTTATAAACTAAATTCTGAAGGGAATGAAGAATCGTCTCTTTCATAAACTGCAAAGGCATATAAAGATTAATAAAAGTCAACTTGGGAGTGATATGATTGAGAATGGCATCACCCAGGCTAGGAACTAATGAAGAAATGAAGCCACCAGTTCTGATCAGAATATAAACTGCTGAGCCCTTCTAGCAAATAAGGAAAGCTAGAGGAAGTAGTGATCTCAGAATACGAATGAGGAAACTGAGACCCGAAAGGGAAGCTAACTCATACATCTCAGGGCAGAACCTTTGGACGTGAACAGTGCTACACAGATTAAGAAAGTGCACACAGGACGTGAGCATGCGGACTTTGCATCCCAGTTTACAGGGGGCATTTGGACAAGTTTCCCAACTTCTCAGCTTATCTAGGAAAATGCCTTCTTACAGGGTAAAGATTGAATGAGACTGAGCATAAAGCACTTAGAACAGCACCAAGCGATACACAGAGTTAACTATGGAGAATAGCTTTTCTCATTGTTAGCAGGAGCGGTAACCACAGTTGCTACAGACTGTGATGACCACTACCCAGCCTGTGGTGCATGTGAACAGGCACCTGTTATAAGACAAGACTAGACCTGAGGCGTCAAACATACATTTAAATAACCTAAACTCAGAGCCTCCTTGGAGACTGTTTCTTGATCTCAGAAGCAAGAGCAGAGCCGAGGTATAAAATCCTCAGTCAGTGCCTGAGTCCCTCTACCTAATGTATTCTTTAGCTGCCTTCATTTCCCACACCCCTCTTTGTTCCTTGTGGGTTTAGGATACCAACAAAACTAGAGAACCTTAAGCAATAAATGAAGACGACCTTTACTAAGCAATTACTACTAGTCTAGTCCTGTGGGAGGGGCCAGAGAAATGTTTTAGAAATAGATATGAAAAAAACTTATCTAAAAACTAGATATAAAGGACCACTGTACAGTTAAATAGCCACATGGTTTGTGTGTGTGTGTGTGTGTGTGTGTTTGGAAACTTATCAGTTCCTTCCACGCCAGCATTCAAGCTGCATTTACTCCTTATGCACTTTGACCCAATTCTAACCAAGTGTGAAACTGTCTCAAAGCCAGAAAGGACTCGGTAACAAAGCCGATTCCAGCGTTCCAGGTTACCACCTGCTATTCATCTAACTCTGGCAAGGGAGCCAGGTCTGCGAAGTTTAGAGTGAGGGCACTTACGATGCTTGCAGATATATAAAATCATGTCTTCTAGCTGCCACCTTTTAGCAAACAGGGAGTAGTGAGTTCCAGGCACTTTCTGCATGTCACATGTATTCTCTTAACTGTGTGAATAAAGCATTTTCCCACATCCTAAATAACACTCAGAAAAAGTAGCCTGTCCAGGTTCTCCGACGGTGGTATATAATAACTTAGTGCCTTAATGCACACCTGGGAACTGGGCCACAAAACTACTCACTCAAAACATGTTTTACTTTCATAGAAGATGAGACTACTGTTACCTCCAGGCTAGATCTGGAAATGAGGTTGAAAAATTCATCCAGGAATGACTTTTAAAGCATATTGTTCCATCATAAAGGCACAATGGAAGGAGTCTCCCTAAGGTAACGTCTGCACACAGAGGGTACACTTTAGGAGCCTTGCAAACTTGTGACTTCTGATTTACATGCCCGATTAAGCATTTGCTCTGTAGCCTAGGATACGTCACTTACCTATTAATTTTCTGACCTACAGAATAGGAATAACATTTAGACTGTGAGCAAGATAACTGGTGGGCTTTATTGAAAAAAAAATGAACATTAATCAACACTCAATGTAGCTGTGTTTTTAGCCAGAGGACAATAAGTGCCTGACCACTAACAAGCAGTCAAACAGCCGGCGCCTCGCTAACTCAGTCCCCATCAGGTATATGCCTAAGTGGTATGTGCTGATATCCCAGCTGAGCCTTGGCTCCAGTCTACTCTTGTCTCTAAAACTGCCTTTTGCAGTGTGGTAGCTAGACTTGGAGTTGATAAAGGCAATGCAACTCTTCTGTTCCAGAGACAAGGCGCAAGAGGCCACTCAGAGCAGCAGCTTCTCCGCTTCAACACGGAGCTACACTTCGGCCTGAGGCCCTAATGAAGTATTCTTTCAAGCCAGTGGCCTCCTTGTCTCAGCTGGTAGCTCCTTGCACCTCATGCTGCCTAACTTAAAGCTCCTTGCATTATCTCCCCACTGATTCTGGTCTAAAGCAAACCAAGTCCAGGGCTTCTGATCAAGAAGCCTGTTTTAGAACACTGGGCAATCCTCCTTTTCATTAGGAAAAGCTGAAAAGGGAAGACTACAGCAAAGAAGCAAAGAAAGAGGAAATTCTCTGTGGTGGGGATCTAGACGGCAGTAGACCTCAGCATTTTTAGTTATGTGCCCTTAGACAAGTGGCCTCCTAAGCCTCAGTTTCATGTGTAACACTGGACACACTAAAGCTTATTTAAAAGGACTGTTATGAGAAGAACATACAGGATTTTTAGCTAGTAAATCCTGAGCACCTACTGGGTACGACAGGAAGTACCCTGACTTATCACTGAGTCCTAACAACAATGCTGTGGTATAGGAAGAGCTGGTGCACTGAGAGGTCAAGTAAATATTTAAGATTATAAAGCAGAAGGAGCAAAAGCCAGGATCTGAACTCAGGATACCTGGGTCTGAAGCCAGTTCTCCCCATTTTGGGCTAGATAATATTTTATTCTGGGGGTTGTTCACTGGAAACCAATAGCTCCCAGACTCCCTCAACCATGGCAACTGACAGTGTCTCCATCCAGACAGTGGCAACTGTTTCCATCTGGCTGAGAACCATGGCTTTAGATGGCACAGCTAAGTTCTCAGCACTTGTGAGGATCTCCCTTGCTCAAACCTTGTTTTATTTCTCTCCCAGCCCTAACACTTTATTCACAAAATCACTGCCTCTTTGAGCTGTAAAAGACCTTTTATAACATAAAGTCAGGTAATTCTTAAAGAAAATTTTGGCTCATTTCATTACCTTGGAGGGTTTACACATTTCTCACAGCTTGGGGGTACAGGGTAAGGGACATGTAGCTTACTGCTTCACTCCCCCTACTCCCTCTTTTCTTCCCTCAAGGCCTTTCATGTTGGCTCTGTGGTGGGGAGGTTGAGCTGGTCAGAGTGGATTAAGTGAGACTACCTTGTCTATCTCAGGATTAAAGCCCTTTACAAAGTAATAAGAAAGACTTTGCCCTTCAGAGTACGTCAAACTCTCCTTCACGACCTCTGAAGACTCATGACTTTATTTCCAAACCCCTGCACTCTCCTAAATTCCATTCATTCATTCATTCATAGTTTATTTATAAATTATTTTCAGGCCCTGGGTCTCCAGAACACCCCCTGGGCTCAATTATGCAGAGACCAAAAACAAACAAACAAACAAACAAACAAACAAACAAACCAAAAGCCTCCTTTAATACCTTAAGCACCAACTCACAAATTTCATCTGATCTTGAATTCTACAATCTACTTATACTATTCACTCCCCACCATCTAATCTTCTAAAAACCTCATCTTAACCCTAAACCCCAAATCTAGAATTCAATCTCCTAGACTGTATGTTGCAACCCTGCAACTTACCAATCACTGCTGTTACCTGTCCTCCATCCCTCGGACATATCCTTTAGTCCATTTTCAAATTCCCACACTTATCACCCCTGCGTGCCAGCTCCAAACTCCAGTCCTGCACTCGGATTTCTGCCTTCCCTCAATCTAAACCCTAATCGCCATTCCTCATTTTGCACTGTGCCACCTCCAACCTCCCACCCCCGTCCTGCCTCACGTGTTGCCTTCAAACCCTTGCTGCGATTTGCTAGCTGGGTACTCACCCCTCAATCCTTCCCAGATTCCACTACAGAAACCCCTTTCTCTTCAGCAATTAGGATCGTCCAAGACCCTGACTATTTTGATCTCAAATCTTGCTGCCATTACACCAATCTCCTCAAAGCCCCAGAGATTCTGCCTGCCAACCCTCAACCTATCTCATGCAGGCCTCCAAATCCCTTTCTATTTCTGATATTTTGCCACAGGATTCCTCCAGGGACTTCACGTCGCCCCCCTCCCCCGCCCCCGCCTCTCCGCACGGCCCCTACATTACCTCATACCTCCCGAGATGCTGCAACTGCAAATCTCCTCAGCCCCTTTGCTCCCCTCCCCCAGCTGCATCTCAACCCCGCCGAATCGCTCCGTAGCCTCTCCCTCCCTCCACCCGGGCCTGCCACTCCGATCCAGTCCCCAAATCCTGCCATTCAGGCTTGGAGCCCCGCGACCCACCACAATCCCTGGTCGCAGACCCTCCTACCCACCCCCTACCTGACCGCCCGTGGCTCCGACGCGAGTCCACCGCTGGCAGCCCACCCACCCGCCGCCTTCCGCGCATGCGCCAGCTGGTACTGCCCATGGCAGTCGCCAATTCGCAGAAACGCCTGTCGGTCAGCGTGCCCCGCCTACCCAAAGCATGCTGGGGCTTGTAGGCCCACGGGACCGGTGTTTGCGGCCCAGCTGAAAAGACCGGGATGGCTCTGGCAGCCTAGACCACCACCGTGTGCTATCCATAGAAGATGGATTTCTACTAGCCGTGTTTACACGGCTAGTCCATCCTGAGCTCCCCAGCAGCAGTCTGCAGAAAGCCTGAGCACCGTTCAGGAACGCCCCTTTGAACCTCAGCTGGGGAAGGCAAGCACACTCCCTTTAAAGAGCAGCTGCTTCCCCCGGGGCTAGGAATTTCTGCCTGTGACACATCTCACAGAGGAGTCACTGAACACACCACCAACCCTGCATAGGAAGGAGGTTCCTTTGCCAAACAGCGTGGAGGCGGATAGCCGAGGGAGAAGCCTTGCCCAGGGGAGGTTTTGTGGCCCACTGACCCAGGACCTGCTGGTCCTTAACATAGGTGAGGGACCGTTAATGCTTGCCACTGAACGGGAACACAAAGTACTAGTTAGGAATAGGAAGAAATCTGAAATGTTATGTTTTCATATTTGAAATTCCACCAAGCCGTGTGCCCTCTGCACAATGATAAGACAACAAACAAAAACAGGAATATCTTTGAGCACTTTGCGACTAACCACAGCTACGCATTTTACAGGCTTAGCCCAACCCTCATAACAGCCCTTTGAGATGAGGAAACTGAGGCCCAGGGATTAAATGACAAAAGAATCAGTTTCTACCTGACAGAGCCAGGATTGCCGTTATGAGAAGCACTTTTAACTGTTTTGTCTATTTCTTTATCTCACAATACAGTCAACGGTTGTTTTGATGATTGATTGGGATTATGAGTGATTCACACTTTATTAATAGTAACTTAAAAAATTAGAATTAGCTGGGCATAATGGCACGTTTAGCATCCTGGCACTTGGGGGAACGAGTAAGGAGAGCTAACAGTTTAAAGGCCGCCTGGGCTACTAATTTGCTGCCTGCTGCTGTGATAATGACTATGGCCGAAAGCAGGGTTTATGGTTTATTTGGTTTACAGATTTTGTTGCCAGTCCATCGTTGAGGGAAGACAGGGCAGAAATTCCAGAAGGCCAGGGACCTGGAAGTTCTAGTTATTTGGTCAGTCTACAAGGGTAGTCAAGACAGGTGTAACTTCTTCAGTGAAATTCAAATCACATGGTCTCTGGACAGGCCTTGGGAGGTCTGGGGTCCTGAACTGGCTCAGGGCTCTAGAGTTACCTGAGGTAGCAACATTGTACTCAGAACATGCAATGGGAAACTCTGGCCAGGAACAGATTGTGTGAGAGCTCATACATCCCTGAGAAGAAAACCCAGGTGGAGAATGAATAGCCTGGTGCAGAGTTCAATCAAAGATGATACTGATTAATACAAACAGAGCCTTGGACCCGTCAGGAGGTGCATTTGCTTTCCTACTTTTTTTTGTTCCTGGTGACTCTGCTGGGTTTATTTCAGGAGGAAGTGCACTTTAATGATTTCTCACAAAGCAAGTATCAGCTGGATTTTAACTATCTGTTTGCCTACTTATTTGTCACAATATTCACCAGTGAATATTGTTTGCTTCCAATCACATCTGTGAACACAGTGACTAGCTTGTAAAGTTTTTTTCAGAGTAGCTGAGCCAAACTCAAACATAGGACTTTAGGAACATTATATCCTTGTCTGACCTAAGGTTGTCATAGTTGCAAAAGGAACCAGTGGGATAAGTCAAGTAATAGCTGGGCATTTTCTGAGCACATCATTGTAAACAGAACTTTTATTTGACTGTTATAGTTGCTGTCTTGAAGGCTTACTGCCTCTGTTTCTTAACCTAGTCCTAGTCCTGGAAGCTTATAGTCTCTGCACAGTCTAACCTAGGCCTAGAATTTTTTCAGCCTCTGAGAATTACTGCTTAAGAAGCTGACCTTTGCTTGTTCTTTTTGGGCTCAAAGCTAGCTGGTTCAACTCAGCTGTTTGGCTCAAACTGGCTTTTCTCTAGGCCTTTGAATTGCTCTGCTAGGCTTCAACCTAACCCCACCAATCTGTTCTAATCTTCTGGCTCCTTCTCATTCTCTGGCTCTTTCTATCTTCACCTGTGTTCTTTCTCTGCAATCTGTCTCTATTACTGTCCTGGTAAAACTCCTCCTCCTCTCTCTATCTCATTCTATCTTCACCTGTGTCTAGCTTGTTCTCTCTTTCAATTTCTCACTGTAAAACTTGGTAAAATTGCCTCCTCTCGTTCACATTGCCCCTTTAGTAGCTTCCCTTTCATATTGTGTCATGCCTTTTTCAGATTCATCACTGTTTCTGCCACTCAATTAGACATTACTTTCAAGCATGGATGCTTCCTTCTATAAACAATCTTTACCTTCATTATTTGGGAGTAAAGGCATGTGCCAACACCCCTGGATCTAAGGTTTTTGTTTTGTTTTGTTTTTTTGTTTCTTTCTTTCTTTCTTTCTTTTTTTTTTTTTTTTTTACCTGAAAATTACTGTATACCAGGCTGGCCTTGGACTCAGCTCTGCTTGCCTCTGTCTCCTGGATTAAAGGTGAGTTTGTGTTGCAGACTGATCACACAGATCTAGAAGGTCTTTGGATATGATCTCTTGTCAGAGCAGCCATGATCTGAATTAAAATTCCTTTACATGTCATAACTGACCCTTTCCATAATACTGTAGCTAGATAGAAAGACCAAATATCAAGTTACAGCTGTGTTTCTTCCTGAAAACACAGAGCTAGGGTCCAAACACAGGCCAAGATGAAAGGAGCTATCTTCCTACTTTGTTAGGTAAAGATGGTTCAAAATATTTAAAAGAGAGGCTACAGTACTAAGTCAAGAACTATGTAAAGGACTAAGTTCTGAACAACATCATCAAGAAAAAAAATGATTTCCCTTTGTTCTGCCACATCAGAGGCTTGTTGCAGCTTCTTCCTCTAGAGAGATAGGGAATCCTTTAGGAAAGGCCCCAGGGTACTTGTACTCACTGTCTTGTAGGTGGACACTTGAGAAAGAGGCTGTCAAATGGCTGATGACTTAAATTCACTTCTGTTACCAGAGGGTAAGAATTAATATTCTGTTTTCTAAACACTACAGTTAAAAGCCTATAGTCTCACTTCAGGAATGCTTGTGTATGTGTGTTTTTGTGTGTGCGCATGCGTGGGGGTGTATGTGTATACACATATGCATATATAAATATACATGTATATGCTATGTGCATATGACTAGTTCCATGTAATTTATAATACATATAATCACATATAACTCGATATTTCTCTTCAGTAACAGAAAGTTACTGGGCCTCCTGAAAGTCTGAAGAAAAGGCTCAGCCACGCCTTTGTAACATTCTTCTCTTTTCTCTTGAAAATAGTTTATCTGAATGTTCCTTTCTTTTTTAAAATATGTGCAATTATTCAGCAGTTGGATTAATCATCACTTTCCACCCACGATCTAGGAGTAAAGTAAACGCCCTGGAGAACGACCCTCACTTGTGTCCTGAAGCATTGCGCATCCCGGCACAGTGTTAGCAGTCCTCTGGCACAGAGACGGTTCAAAACACTGGTTCCTCTCAAGGAGTTCCCATCTCAGCAACGACCCCTGGGCCCAGATTTTTTGGTTCTGTTGATCTCCTTGTGGAGTTCCTGTTCCCTCCAGGTCTTTCTATTTCTCCCTTCTTTCATAAGATTCCCTGCACTCTGCCCAAAGTTTGGCAATGAGTCTCAGCATCTGCTTTGATACTCTGCTGGGTAGAGACTTTCAGAGGCCCTCTGTGGTAGGCTCCGGTCCTATTCCCTGTTTTCTCCCTCTTCAGACGTCTATACAATTTGCCTTTCTGAGTGAAAATTGAGCATCTTACCCGGGTCCTCCTTCTTGCTTAGCTTCTTTAGGTGAACAGATTTTAGTATGTTTATCCTTATAATATATGTCTAATATCCACTTATAAGTGAGTATATACCACGTGTGTCTTTCTCTAGAACCCCTGCATAGATGTAGTCCATGGCAGCTCAGTGTCCAAGTGGGTTCCCTAGTAAGGAGAACAGGAGCTGTCTCTGACATGAACTCAGTGGCTGATCACCTCCCCCTGAGAGTGAAGCAGCCTTACCAGGCCACAGAGGAAGACAATGTACCCAGTCCTGATGAGACCTGTTTGGCTAGGGTCAAATGGAAGAGGAGGAGTACCTCCCCTACCAGTCCACTGGGGGAGGAGCATGTGAAGAGAAGAGGGAATAAGGGTGGGATTGGGAGGGGAGGAAGGAGGGGGCTACAGCTGGGATACAAAGTGAATAAAATTTAATATATAAAAAAATAAATAAAAAAGAAAAAATCAATGGTTATCAACCTGTGGTTTGCAACTCTGGCAAATCTCTTTCTCTAAAAATATTTACATTACAGTATATAGCAGTAGCAACATTACAATTTATTAAGTAGCAACAAAAATAATTTTATGGTTGGGGGTCACCACAACATGAGGAACTGTACTAAAGGTTCACAGCATTAGGAAGGTTGAGAGCCACTGTTTTAAATAAAAATATTCTCTGTGAAGCTCTTTAAATACTCTTTCTTTGGCATTTTAGTATACTGGATTTTGATTTAACTGTTAAAACTCCCTATATCAGTTTCCCAGGACTAGGGCAAATTACTAAAGATGAGGTGTCTGAAAGCAGAGAAATTTATTCTCTTGAAACTCTGGGTGTGCAAGAAGTATGAAATCAAGGTCTTACCAGGACTCCTTCCCTCTCGGTCTCTGTCTGTGTCTCTCTAGCTTAGACTGAGAGTCTCTTTCTGTCTCCTCCTAGCACCATGCAGACCCTGGCTTGGCAATATTGGTCAGAATGGATTTAAGGGTCAGTGCCATTCCAGTTTATTCTCTTCCCTGATTATGTCTAAATCAACTTCATATCCTTATTAATCATATTCTGGTAACTTGGAAGCTGGGATTTCAGCACA